AAGCGCTTTCAGACGTGCTAACTCTTTCGGTCGACGTAGTAACAGTGCTTGAAGAAGTGTCAAAGGCACCTCCGGCGGATAGTCGGCAAGAAGAGGAAGTTGAGCTATTACAATGCGATCCAAAGCGACCCATAGGTCGAGGATGGTAAGAATCATGAGGGACTGCTGCTCGGCGTTTCTTTTGTAATGCTTTTTCGCGACTTTGGTGTACTCCTTGATCAAAATATGGAGAGCGGAAGGGGCGGAAGGATTCGTTTTCTGCGCATCCGTCCAAGTCGCCAACGAGTCACAAACCATGTCCTCAAAATCCGCGAGGTTGATGTATGCATCATCACTCGTGATGAAGCCGTCCAGTTTGCTGTTCATGATAACATTGTCTATGGTGCAAGAGAGGAGCCGGGACGAGTGGTTGGGCTGGTGGAAGGAGGATGTAGACATTTGAGGGGTCTCTGTCAGTGCATGTTGAATATACGCAGACGAGTGCCCGAGCTTGAGTTGGGTATCGGCGACAAGGTCTATGGCCTGTGGGGCCCAAACTGACTCGTACGTAGGCGCATCCTTAGTCTGGATGTCATTCCAGCGGGATGTTAGCTCGTCTGTGATGGCAGCGCAGGCAACCTTTGTCTTTTCAAAGACAAAAGAGGGAACCTCTTTGTCAAGACTATCCAGTTTGCTAGCACGTCTTGCGAGTTTCTTGCGAATGGTGTCGAGGGTGGAGCACTTGAGGGTGGAATCTTTGACGAGTCGGAGGGCGATATCAGCCATGGCATACAACATGAAGGCTTTGTACTCCCACAGATGCTTCAACGTCGTCTGTACTGCAACACGAATGACTAGCCAAAGGGACGAGCGCCTCCAAGGCGCCAGCGCATCATTCCAGAGCACATCGTCAGCGATGCGCTTCTGAACACGGTGCGCAGCGTCGACAATAGGATTTTTTTCTCCGCCCAATGCGGCTAGAACGGAAAGAAGCAGATCGCTGATATAGCGCGGATGCGCCGTATCGCGACGTTCGACCGGTGAGGAACCCGCCTTCCAAGTATGAGGTGCTGATCCAGGTAGCTCATTGCAACTCATCCGGGCAATGAACGACGAGAGCTCTCTTTGAAACGTGAGGGACTCAAAAGTGGTTCTCGGGAATGAAGTGGTTGGGCCGGGAAAGGTCCAAACAAGTTTGCTCTCACATGCCATCACCGTCGTGTTGGGTGCGCTGACTTCAAAAACCTCACAGGTAATGAGGTCCTCTGCTACGCGGAAGACGATTCCTGCATTTTGCTTTCGGACAAGAAGTGCCATTGTATCTGTACTGAGTGTCAGGAAAGGCAAGATAGCATGACTTCCGACTTTACCTCCACGGTGCTGCATTTCTGCGAATCTATCGATGATGCACGCGGCTGTATAGTCGCTGGAACCATGATCCTTGGCAATCCCTAGCAGCATCTTGACGATTGCTGGCCAATCGGCAGAGGGTGTGTTTCCTTCAGTCGCTTGGCAGGCAGCTGTGCTGTAGTGTGTCGCGCACTCGGCGATGAGTGTAGCGAGGGCGTGATCCTTCGAGTAGTCTCCGTCACTCTGTTCGTCCATCTGTGGCAGCTGCAGAGGCATGAAGACATGATTCACGATGTATTCCGCGTTGTCCATGTCTACGACGAACGAGGGGTGACGAAAGAAGGGAGGAAAAGCTGAGTAGACGCCTGATATGGGAAAAGATAAGTAGACGCCTGATACGCATTCAATAGGCATTCATTTGCCATGGAAAGTACGGCACACCTTGACTGAAAGCGGTCGGCGCCTATTCACGGACTTCTATTGTGCATCGTGTTTGAGCCATCTTACAATGGGGATGCAATTGTCGTGTTATGCTCGTCGTATAGTCGATTAAGAGTAAGCGAACGGTGAAGAATTTGAAGAAGGCGTGATGTAAGATTGATACCGAGCCTCGAGGCGAGGACACGACTTGAGAAACCATTCACTTTCCATATATCCGCGTGTAAATTTGGTAAGATGGATGTGGCGTCAATAGAAAGAGCCTATTGTTCGGGCGACTGGTGAGACAGCCGAATACGCGTCAGTGCCCACTCATACTGATTCGTCCATCACAGTGGCGCAGGCAGCATCGAATTGTAAGAACTTTGTTTGGCAGTGTGTAGCGTTGATTTCCAGCCTAAGACGTGGTTCAGAAGAGGAATCGGGAGCTGACAATGACTAAGCATTCGGATCAGTATACGGTGTACCCGCCGCTCAAGCGCTAGCCAAGTCTCCTCGGTGTGTTATTCATTGATTTTCAATCTTGCCATGGGTCCAAGTGCGCGACATGAAATGGTCGCATTTCATACAGCAAGCTGGTCAGGCAGTACAGTACGTTCTTCACATACTGTATTCTGACTAGTCTTCAAATAATTACGTCGACAAATAATATCAAAGTACCCCTGCAGGCTGTTGCGATTCGCAACCTGGCACTTCCAGATTGCTGAATTGAGCAGCGCCACAGTAATCTAACATCCATAGATGTGAGTGCATTAGCATTTTTTACAGGATTCCACCAGTTTCCCAAGTAAAATCACAATGACATCGTCAAGTTGACATTCAAACAACACGCTCACAATAAGTAAAAGTAGATACGCTAGTAGATAAACCCAGAACCAAAAAGTATGCATAAATGGTTAAAATCATGAACAAGGACGAAGAAGGAGTAGTCGGTTGAGCGTGAATGGAAGCGGCCAGCGCCTATGATAAATAGAGGGTTAGTTTTAAGCATAACGATTATCGGACCCTGTCGTCCTTCGCTCTAGTCGTGAGTCAGACCATCAACGACCTCCTACGACCCGCTTTGGCAGCCAGCCTCTCCTTTTCCCGTTCCTCCGCCTCCTTCTTGGCTTGTCTCAGTGCGGCACTCTTATTTGTGCGAGGTGCAATACTGGGGGGTCTGGCAATACTGTTTGGCTTCTTGATCTCCCTTTCGGCTTCGGTGCTCGTAGCCGAAGCCGGCGACGCGAGGCTAGAGGCTGTTGACGTTGTAGATGGGAATGCATTGTGCAGGGAGGGTCTCGTAGGCTGGGTGGATGCTGGGCGCCGCATGGATTGCACAGAGGACGGACGTGATTGCGATGGGTTGGAAACGGAGGACGAGTTGTTTGCTCCATGGACTACTAACAATCAGCAATGGCGGAAGAGAATGAATTGAAAAGGCGTACACATGAAGCTCGTCGGGGGTGCTTTGGGCTGTGTCCTCAACGTCGCTGAACGGTTCGATCTGGGCGCAATGGACGGCGGAGCGATCGCGACGCTAGAAGCCCGTCTGTGCAGCTCAGGTGGCGGAGTACCATTTGGCGTCCCGCCGTTCGTCTTGGAGGCCGTCTTGCCATTTGTCTTTGTTGGAGGAGCAGGCTTGGGCGCAGGCTTCGGGAGTTCAATTCCGAGACGCAGCGCAGCGGCCTTTGTGAGTCTAGGAGCAATCTTGGGCGCACTTGTGCTCGCGACTTGAATACTTTCGCGTCTCTTGTGTCCCGGTACCCCATCAAACGTCTCCTGCAGGCGCTCTTTAGTAAGTGATTGACGCGGTTTTCCGACTGGTTTATGGTAAGTCGGATTGTTGGCAAGGGGATTGGACGAATTAGGTGAATTGGTGGACGAATTCGTTAAGCGGAGAGATGCAGCACGGGTGGTACGAGGAACGATGTCTGGGGAATGGGTCGTCGTGGGCAGAGGGCGCGCCTTAAAGTAAGGGTTGAGACCAGATGACGACCCGCGCAGAGACGACGAAGGTGACTTGATCGAAGACGAAGTTGGCGACAGCGCCTCCGCGCTGCCGGGCGACATGGCTCCTCGTCTCCCCCGTATTCCTCCTGGAAAATCGGCGAGCTCGCGAAAAGCGCTGAGATCTGGGCTTCCGCCATTTCTTCGTCAGGCGATAGCACAACGCCTTCGACTTCGAAGACTGGCTCAGCGCTTTGCAAGACATAGACCCATACTTTGTCAGAGGTCATCTGCTCGATGGGCGCATTAGGGAATAATTCCGATAGGTATGGCGACGCCTCCAGGTGCATAGCCCGCTCCTTGATTATTTCTACCGACGCCGCAGTCAACACCGACTCTATAGAGAGCCGGTGCTCCAGATGCGATGGCAGGATCACAGCGAGCGTCCGCATCTTGCAGCCAGCGATGAGGGTAGTATGTCGTGTCAACAACAGTGATGTGAAAAGTCGAATATAGACAGTCGCAGAGGAGTCTTTACTCCTCTATGATGAGTTGGAGAAAACGAAGGTGAATCAGACAAGAAAAGAGCAAGTCGAGGAGTTAGAGGGTGTAGGTAAAGTTTAATAAGGGTGTACAGCTAAACTACACAACGGATCCTAATCTTGTTTGGTCTTGATTGCGAAACACTTCCGTTGTCTCCGTCCCCTCTTCCACGACGTCTGGGTTGTTAGGTCTACCTGATCGTTCTGTCCTCCTTGTTACCGCGTGGCCCTTTCATGACGCCTCGATGCATTAATTCTACATTAGCCGTTGCCTGATTTCTCAAAGTCCTAATGGCTTGCAACCATCCGGACTCGCGATCGGCGTTTACCTCGCCAGCTATTCGTTATCCATAAGTTCTCGACTGAATTTAGGAGGTTTAGACCAGGCAGCAGATAATGGGCGAGGTGATTGGAGTTGTGGCAAAGATAGTACTTAGATGATGGAGCATACATGCACGATGCAGTAATACTGTAATAGCAAGCTACTTCACAAAAATACGTCTGGGTTATTTGAATTCAGGATCATCCACCACGAAGTCGGACCCATGACGCAGGGTTTCCTAAATAGTAATCAAAAGAGAATTGGGCATGGGAAAATGCGCCACAATTCATCACCAAATTATCCTGTAGCCACACTGCTATTATCATTTCAACGTAACGATAAGTTTCAAGTTTCGACTTGTAGCTATCTTAATTTTAAATACCAATCAAAAGTGCAATCTTTGTTTCGTGTCAGGCCCAAAAACTAACAAGTACGAGATGTGACAACTGTGAGACTCGAACTCACGCTCTTTCGAACTAGATTAGACACACAATGGCCTGATTCTAGCGCCTTAACCACTCGGCCAAGTTGCCATAGTTGAATTATTCGGCACAAACAACCAAAATCTGCGCCACAAGGTCCAATGTGAGTAGGTGAACCGACACCCTTGTAGCACATTGCAGCCAGCGCATGTACATAGGTCGGCATCTATCATTAGGGAGATGCGCTAGTAGGACTAAACGGCCGGATTTCTTGTTCACCTGATAAGTAGAGGTGGATGAGGGCTGGGTCTCGCTAGACGCCTTTGATCTGTTGATGATTACATTCTGAAAAGAATTGTGTAACGATGTAATCACCTCAGACGACATCTTTTGAAGTTCTCGACCTGACCTTCGTCGGCCATTTCCTCCAGTCTCTGACGGAGAAAAAAAACAGTTAGCCATGCACCCCGTGGTCCAACGGGAGGCCACTCTCATCTGCGAAAATCCTTTAGGATGGGTGACTTCTGTGGATGAGACAACGCGGTCGTTCGGTACTGGTAATACACAGCCCACATCCAAGTCTCGCTTCGACAAAGGTTTGGCTATCATCCCGATAATACTTGACTATGAAGGAAATCGCTGGGCTTGGTCGTATAGTGCGGGATCACTCGTCGTGATATACTGCGAGTCTGCACTGTGCGATCGACAGAACAGTCGCAATTTGTGGTCACCCTGGAGCATAAATCTATACCAGGGTAGTTCTAGTCCAAAAATATCTGTATGTGAGTAATCTCAACGGCACACAGCGCAGTTTTCAATGACGGGTTACCGATTGGCTGAGCATACGTCTGAATTATGAGTGAAGTTGTCGTTCACAAGATATGAACCTCTCGGGTGGCAACCCGAATGAATCATGGTTCAAGACGTTGAACGGCGCGTCCGCGATCCGGAGGAGACATCAAGCACAAACAAAGACAGGCGGTGTTAAGGTGATCCAAGACCAGCAAGAAACAACAGGTTTCTAGCACATTACGGATGAGAAAGAAAGGAAAGAAATGCGAAGAGTCAAGAGTCAAGACGCGTCGTGACCTATCGTGACGGCGTGGATAGCCACGTGATTCCCTACCCTCCTACTATCATGGTCGACGACCAGTCGCTCGAGGCGCTAGCCAACCTCCTCAACCTTATATCAGAAAACCCTTTTGACCTCTCTCTTCATGTTCAACATATTCGACTCGCGCAATCGCTGCCAGGAATGGACGCGGAAGTGCAATCCGCAATGGAAATGTTAACGAGCTTCTACGCTGCCAACGAGGACGTCTGGACCCATTTGATAAAGTTAAAAAAGGACTCAGCAGACCTGAACACGGAAGAAGGCGTAAATGAGGTGCTGGCTCTGTATGAACAAGCAGAAAATGATTACTTGTGTGCGTCTCTGAATTCTCTTCCTACTTCCTTGGACTAGATGAAGTATACAGCCATCCCCATCCTCAAGAGTCACGTCGAATTCCTCTTGGATGGATACAATAAGTACTCCGGCGGGGAAGAGGCGAAACCCGACGATTTAGGCGAAATGTTCACAGCCAAATGGATGCGCGCCACATTGCCGGTCGTTACGAAGAAGAGTACCCTTCATTGGACAAGAGTATGTCTTCAATGCCATCCATAGCTTTTGGTCTAACGCATGTATTGGACAGAGCCACGAAGTTTGGGACTTGCAACGGGATTGGGCAATGGAGCAACTTGAAGGTAGTTCAGGGCCAGAGAAGTAGCATTCATCGTCATTTCTACGAAAGCCCTGCTCACTGTGATGCAAGGGCAGATCTCGTGGACTGGATAACTGAGATGCTCGTAGAAAGGCTCAAGCAACCCCATTCAAGTGAATAAACCTTCGTCATCATGAGGGCTAAACTCACCCATTGCACAGATTCCGATGACACCTCCGTGACTTATTCCTCGTTCACAACCGCCAACAAACCGGAAGCCGACTACATGAAACTTCTTCAAAATGCGTCTCAAGACAAGTCGAGAGCAGTCAAGGCATTTGATCGCCGATTTGCAATGGAAAACACGCTAGTGCGTTTAGGGTTAAGGTTCTTTTGTGCTTTCAAGCTGAACGATTGCAACATAGAAACAGTCCGGGTTCTCTCTCGAAGCATATTCCAATTACATCTCTTGGGAAAGTCGGTCGAAATTCCCGGATCTTTTTGCGATTACTGGTTTGCACGAGCGCGCCATAGCGGAAGCTGCCAAGGTCAGATTCGAGGGCCAGGCTGGCGCAGAGACTTACTTGCGTGCATTCTGGACCTCCTACAGTGATGCTGTGGTATGTCTTGTAGTCTTGTACTTTTGCATGAAATTGAAAACATTTCAGAGGACACTAAGTCAGGGTGCGATTCAGCTGGAGCTTGACGTCTTGCAGAGAGCTGTACGGAGTGTACCTAGCTCAGGCGAGAGTTGGGCAAGGTACATTCGACTACTTGTATGTCCTCCTTTTTGCCGGGAGACCACTGTTCATAGCTTTTATCTTTCTTGGAATAGGAACGCTCCCCTGGGGATGACACCGCTGATTCTATAGCAGGCACGACTACCCAATTCCTACGCTAGGCTTACTGACGATCTTTCAGGATTGTATGACACTGCCTTGATTACGACTGTAGAGGTTGAGCAGCTCATCCCTCTTGTTCTCGCTCGCGCCGGGTTTGAAAAGCGTTTACTCGAGACTGGGGATGGTGGTACGTAGCGTCGTTTGCAGTTTGCCAGAACTAACCACATATGTAGATGCTGATTCATTCGCTACTCTCCTAGAGGTAATGGAAACTGGCATGAGGGCAGTACGAAAAGGCACGTCAGTTTTCGCGTCCAGTTGACTGTTGGTCTCATCACTGAATGCTAGATGCGACTGGCGATCAGTGGTTTAGGCTTGAAAAATATTTAGCGGAAATAGTATGGCGAACGTACCCGGTATCTGCTTTTTGCTGACTGTCATGTAGTATCGGTCCGCAGGGCTTACGGATAATGTCATAGGCGTGTGGGAAGCGGCTACAAAACATTATAAAAACAGTTACTCTGCGTGGACGCAATATACTGACGCCTTGATGTACGTACATTTCTTTCTTAGAACTAAACGACGCTCATCCCCTACAGGAAGGGTGAACGGTCAGAGGAGGCTCGCAAAGTTTTTCAGGATAATCACCGAAAGAACTTTGACTGGCCTGAGGGTGTCTGGGATGCATGGATTGCCTTCGAGCATCTATATGGCACATTAACCGAGGTCAACGCCGCCATTGACGCAGTCGAGCAAGCTCGGTCGCAGTTGAACGCCAGACGGGCGAAGGTTTGTGCATATATCATGCCGCCGGTTTCTTCTTATAAAATGTATAGGAAGCTGCGAAAACACAATATCAGTACGACCAAGCTTCTGCAGAGCAACTGGCGTCTGCTGTTCTGGTCGCCGATGTCCCAATTCCGCATTCGGACGCTATGAATGTCGATCAACAGGCAACTGCCATTGCGGAGCGGGGCACCAAACGTCGAGCGGATGATGCTGACGACGAAGACAGTGCATCAAAGAGACAGAAAATCAAAAATGATGAACCTCTGAAACGGTCAGGCTTATTCATGAACTTGCCACGGTTGGTTGACGAAATTGAAGGGATCGGGAAAACTGCACCGTCTTCGTTGCGGACATGCCGCGAAACGTTTCTGAGGGTGATCTTCGTGCACTCTTTAAAGACGTGAGTGCGTTGGCAACCTCCACAATACATGTTCAAGCGTAACTTTCTCAGTGTGGAAAAATCAGAGAAGTCAGAATTACTGCCTTTCAGGCCGGCTTTGTGGCTACGGTAGAGTTTATGGATCGTGTACGTTTCATCCACCCCATTTTCATTGAATGCTTCTGACATCCGCATTAATAGGACAGCGTCCCACAGGCCCTCACAAAGGACAAGAAACGTATTCATAACCAGGAGATCGCAGTACACTTGGCATGGTCGTCTACGTTATACGTGACGAACTTCCCCGAACATGCTGACGACTCTTACATTCGGAACATGTTCAATAAGGTGTGGCGTATTTTATTTTATTTGTCGACCTTTTCCTCAACCTTCGTTACCAGTATGGTGTTATATTTGATGTGCGTTGGCCGAGCAAGAAGTTCAAGAATAGCCGGCGATTCTGTTATGTTCAATATACGTCCCCGGTAAGTGGTTGTCGCCATGTCTTGCGAGTCCGTCATTTGTCTTAATATGTTCCATCAGGCATCAGCACAACAGGCTTTGGAACTTCATGAGAAAGAGCTTGAAGCCGGGTTTCCTCTGAGCGTATTGATTTCAAATCCAGAACGCAAAAAAGGTCGCACAGATCAAGATGCTGACCAACGTGAGATCCATGTCGCTGGTCTACCCAGAACGACGACCAGTGACGATTTGCGCAAAATATTCAAAGAGGTCTGTTGTTTCATTTCAAGGCACATTTAAACTCATGCCCTGTACCAGTATGGTACCGTTCAAGACGTGAGGCTGGGCACAGACAAGGACGGGCGATGCAAGGGGTTCGCGTTTGTTGAATTCGAGACTCCGGTAGGCTCTAAGAGTCATCTATACGAGGAACAATCTCATTTCCACTTTAGGAAAGTGCTTCCTCTGCACTCCAGGCCAACAACTCCGAATTCAAAACGCGTCGGCTTGCTGTCACGATGTCAGACCCTCGCGCTAAACGAGCACGGTAAGGACATTGTCACATGCTTTATGTATATGTTCTCAAGCGTTCTCTACACTACAGTAATGCCCCGGATACTGGGTTTGGTGAACGTGCCGACACGCGCAACCGCTCCGTACGAATCAAGAATCTTCCACCAAATACCGAGTCGCAGGAGGGTTTGCTGCAGCAGGCCCTTGAAAAGATTGCAAAGGTCAAACGGGTCGAAATCATCGGGGATACATGCGAGGCGCTTGTGGAAATGATCAATGCTGCTGTACGTTCAAGCATTACTTTCTCAGACTGTATGTTAACGGAGACAATATAGGAGGCTGGCAAGCTCCTGCTCAACACGGAGCCATTATTGTTCGGCGGGAATACGCTGAAAGTCCTTGAAGAGACGGCGCTTCCTG